GCCAGAGAGCTGACTTACCAGACAAGGCTGCTCCCATCACCTCACCTGGCTAGGTAGTTGTATTCCTGCACGCCCTTCTTGGCCTAGTTGTGATCTGTCCTCTCTGGGCTCTTGGGAGGTGATGTCACTCCTCTTTTCCCCCTATAGGGGTGCTGGCAGGTTTGCCTTTCTAATGTTCAGTACATCTCATGGGCGGTTGGCTCCCAGACTGCTTGTACGTGCATCAGCAGATCAGAGTGCTCCTGAGAATCAGTGAGACCAGGCTGTTTCCTTTGATCCCTCTATCCGTCACTCATAACTGGTCCCAGTAACTGATTAGTGGTGTAGAGAACCCATACCTCTTAAGAACATGCTCAGCTTGAGATTCCCATGTATTTTATCCAGCACAAGACATTGTTAATGCCACATGATGGTTGAGAAATTACACCCAAACCAGGCAGTTCAGAGTCCTGGAGTTTGCAGAAACTATAGCGCCAACCCCTTGCCCATCTGTAAGCGTTTACTAGGAGGTGACCCCCTGACTCTTCTGCATTTAGTTCTCCCCTGATGTTGCGCTAATGTGTTTTGTACAGAGTTCCACAGGAGTCTAGGAAGTGGCAGTGAATCTGACCAGAGCCTTGGCAAAGCAGGGAGCAGTGAGAGGCACTAGAGGTGCATGCAGACTAGAGAAGGCAGCATTGCATTGGATCACAAACATATGGGCTAAAATCGATCTTTTAGAATGAAATCTTAGTTCCTGCAGAAACTGATGGCCTTGGCATCCCACTTGGTAGGAGAGGGAATGAATTTTTCAAGCCAGGTTCCTTGGTGTCCAAAAAGGTCCCCTGCGGCCTGATGTGCAAGTCCCCCTCCTTGGCTCTGTTGCACCCCTTGTGTTTGCAGCTGGACGGGGGCTGTGCTTGTTGTGGGTATAGGAGTCAGCTGAGCAGAGTACAGCACAGGCAGGTGCACGGTTATTCTGAGGAGGGAGATAACCGAGGCCAGCAATCTTGGGTCTGAAGGGCAAGTCTGTGTTGGTGCTGGAGGATCCCACGCAGCCAAAATGATGAAAGCTGTCCCAAATGCACAGCCAGCTGAGAAGACACTGTCTCTGGGCAGACAAATGATATTAACATTTCCAGCACTCTCAGGTCCTGGATCCAGATAGCAGAGGGGTACACGTGGCACCACCAAAATGTCCTGCTGGTACTGAAGCTTTTCCTGCATGGCGTTTGCATCCCCCTCCACATGCCCATTCTGTTTGCTTTGCTAGTGCTTTTCCATCGAGCTGCGACTTGCAGAGCCACCTGTGCTGATGGGGTGCCTTTAGGAGGCTACAGGGCACTGGGCTTCTGCCATAGTCTCAGAAACCTGTAGGGTGACTGGAGGGGTATCGAGGCCACCCAGTAGCATAGGCTGTGGAGACTCTATTCCTGGGTTAGCTGCTTGGGTGAAATGATCCTTCCGTACAACCTATTGTTGGTCTGTACTCACAGCTGTAGAAGCAAGGAGAACCTTCAGTCAAAGCTAAAGGCTACATGGTGTGGCTCCTCTGGCAGTGCTCCAGTCTAGATGCTGCACCAATCCTGTCCCTGCATGAGGAGTAGGATGCTAGTTAATTGCCCGGCGCTGAGCATGCTTCTTTCTCAGCTCCTCCTGCTTTCTCTGTTGGCAGGTTTCCCCTGTTTTTTTTCTGTAGTGAGAATTAAACTGTAGATTAAGCAGCAGATCGCATGTATCAGTCAGAATTTGTGGGTCATTCCTTGGTGATCCTTCTCCCTGGGTCCAAGCAGGACTAGATGCAGCTCCCTTTGAAGTCTGGAAATGCCTTTCCAGCCTGGCTATTGCATGGAAATCCAGTCCCCCAGGTAGCACTGCATCATGGGGCAGGCAAGACGAACGGGTGGTTCTTCATACCAGATATGCAGGGACCTCTGGTATCACACAAGCTTTGCTTCTTGGTCATCCTTCAGGCAGGGCGGCCTGGCCTGGGCTCTTTGGCATGTGCTCAGGGTTACTGCTCAGGGATGCTCCCTCCCCTTGGGGCTAATGCTGCCTCCCCCCAAACCCAACATCTAGGGAATCCAGGCCCCAAGTCTAACGAGGTCAGCAGTCCTTCCCAGCAGGCCCTGCTCAGTGAGCAAAACCCTCAAGTGCTGGGTTTGCTCTCCCCACCAGGAGAGTGCATGTTCTTCTGAATATTCCTGGTGAAAGATTGGTGTTCAGTGTCAGCGTGGCTGCCAGTGCCCTCCCCCTGCGTTGCCCCTCACATCTGCTTGGGAAGCTTTGGCCTGTGATTAAGGGACCTGTTAAATGTTTGTTTTGCTACATCCATCCTGCTTGTTAGCCCCACGCGTGGCGATGGCACTGCTCTTGCAATTGGCCTACAGTGAAGCCTGTAGTATTTGGATTACGGCGGCACCAAGAACAAACACGTGGCAGATGTGAGTCATGTTGTTTAATGCACGACTGGATGGTGCTCAGATACTGTGGTGATGTGTGGTAAAAGAACTGATCTAGGATAGGATAGAGAGGCCCCAGCTGAGATTGGGGCCTGTTGTGCTCAGCCCTGTGCAAATATTTAGCAACTGTACACTCTTAGGAGCAGGGACTATCGCCACAGAATAACACGCGTGTGGGGCGCGAAGGCAGGGAGAGGGGAAGTAACTCACCCAGGGTCACCCAGCAAGGCAGTGGCAGAGCTGGGGACAGAGCCCAGCTTTCCTCAGCCCCACGAGACTGCGCTGCTTCTCCTGTGTAACTGCCGAGGGAGACAGATGTCTGAGCCAAGCTCCGGGGAAGAGCCTGGACATCACTCGTTGCAGTCTCTCTTCTCTAGCTAGGAGGACGTGTCTGGCTGCAGTGAAGGAGCGATCTAGCACACGTGCTGGGGGTTGTTTCTTGAGGGTGTGGGCTTGGGGAGAACTAGCCAACTGAGACTGTTAGACCCTACTGGGCCAAGCCCAGCATGGATTCTCGAAGTGGGATTGGCCACAAGGGCTCAGTCCTGATGCTCCAGGTCCTTCGCTGCAAGTGGGAGGATTTTCCCATTAGCAGCGCCCCACCTTGCTAACGTGTTCAGGGGGCAGCTCCTGGTGTTGTGGACTTACTCAGTGCATTGGAATAAGCCTCTTCCCTTCCCTGGAGAGCCAACAATTTCAGATGAAATAGACGAGGAACAGATCTTGGGTAGGGTTGCCAACTTTCTACTGAATACCCCTGTCCTGTCCTGCCTCTGAGGCCCTGCCCCACTCACTCCATCCTCTCCCTCCCTCTGTCACTCACTCTCCCCACACGCACGCACACGCTCATTTTCACAGGGCTGGCTCGGGTGCAGGAGGGGGTGAGGGCTCTGGGATGGGGCCAGGGATAAGGGGCTTGGGGTGGGGGAGGGGGCTCCAGGCTGGGGGGGGGGGTGGGGGTGTGGGGGGGGGTACAGGCCCTGGGCTGGGGCCAGAAATGAGGGCTCTGGCTGGGGAAGGGGGTTGTGGTGCAGGGTGATGAGGGCTCCAGCTGGGGGTGAAGACTTTTGGGTGGGCCAGGGGATGAGGGATTTGTGGTGAAAGAGGGGGGCTCTGGGCTGGGGCTGATGGGTTCGGAGTGCAGGCAGGGGGTTGGGGCACAGGGGTGGGGGGTGAGAATTCCAGCTGGGGGTGCAGGCTCTGGGGTGGGGCTGGGGATGAGGAGTTTGGGGTGTAGGAGGGTTCTCAGGGCTGGGGTCGAGGGGTTTGGAGGATGGGAGTGGGATCAGGGCTGGGGCAGGGGGTGGGTCAGTGGGGCAGGGTCCGGGCAGCACTTACCTCAAGGAGCTCCTGGAAGCAGTGCCATGTCCTTCCTCCGACTCCTATGTGGAGGCGCAGCCAGGCAGCTCTGTGTGCTGCCCCATCTGCATGCACCACCCTCGCAGCTCCCATTGGCTGTGGCTCCCAGCCAATGGGAGCTGCAGAGCCGGTGCTTGCAGCGGGGGCAGCATGCAGAGCCCCCTGGCCACCCCTATGAATAGGAGCTGGAGGGGAGACATGCCGCTGCTTCCGGGAGCCGTGCGGAGCCACGCCAGGCAGGGAGCCTGCCTTAGCCCCGCTGCGCTGCCGACCAGACTTAACGAAAAACCAGACACCTGACAAACCTACCCTTGGGTGAGGCCTGGCGTGGGGTTACTAGTGAGGGCGTGAAGGGCTGCTGGAAGTGGGGTGCGAAGAAGAGGGAGCCGGGTGCATTGCTCTGGGCATTACAGGCATAAAGGGATGGCAACGTGAAGTGCAAACCCTGCCTTGCCCTTGTTTGCACCTAGGGGTCAGCGGCGGTGCGACTGCGCAGCTTGCTGACCACCGCTCCCTGACTGTGGGCCAGGCTTGCAGGTGCCACGGCTGAGTAACTTGATAGCTGGCGGCCCAGGACTGAGCGCTGCTGAACTCCCCTTGAGCTCATTTCCCTGGCCCGCAGACCGCTCCCGTTGCAAACAAATGGTCGGTGCTGGGGTGCTCACTACTGCTGGCTGTGGTGAGAACGTCTTGTGCAGTGCCTTGCTGGCGAATGGGCAGGAAGTCCTGTTACTGTCACACCCCGGCAGTCTGAACCCACCAGCCTCGCTGCTCTGCATGTCTGCTTGCTCACTGCTGTAGGTGCTTGGAGAGCAGCTCGCTACCTCCGCTTCAATCTGGCATTCCTGCTCTTATTCCTGAATCTAATCCAGCTGCAGCTGGCTGACCTGGTGGCTCCAGTGAAGCTGGTCATACAATTATTGGCTAAACCTCACTGCATCTCTGCTCGCCGGCAGTGTGCTGGGTCTGGCAGCTAGCCTCTGGCCCACTCCTTTCTGTCATAGTGGGACCAGCTGTGCCGTGCTTTACTTCTGCAGAAAGGGCTCACTTCTCCTGCCTACTAACTCCTAGCTGCCTACTAGCATCTCTCCAGATGGGGCTGGCACCCTTGTGTGCAGCAGACACACTTCCTGCTGTCTGTGCAGTGGCTGGAAGTGGGCTTAGCTGATTGTACTGCAGAGGCCTAGTGCTAGGATACACATGGAGCCCTGTAGTCCAGGCCCCAGGGTGCTGTTCAGCAGAGTAAAATCAAACTGCTGTCCCTTGGGGCTCAGGTACATTGTCCATTTTTGTGGACTTGAAAATCCAGTGTTGCAGCAAAAGAGCGAAGTTCTTTCAAAATTCCACATGTAGATGAACTCCGGTGTCTGTCTCACTCAGTGAGGGTGGGTCTGAAGAGTTTGGCGTTGACAGAACTTGAGCTGCCGCAGTTGGCGAGCTTTGAGGGGGTGCAGCCAGGAAAGGGGGTGGGAGGGAATGGAAGTTGGGGCCAGCAGTGGCTGTTGTGAAAACACCCCTGTGCACGTGGGGAAATTTTTAAGGTGCTGTTAGGAAGCGTGGAGAGTGATGCTTGAACATAATGATGGGTGCCAGGAATATAGCCTAGATACAGAACTGAGTGGGGTGAATTTGACAAGGGCCCATTACAGCGGAAGTGCAACTCCAGATCTGTAAGTGGGATCCCTTGGGCAGTGGGTGGTGGGAGCACAGGTCCCTGTCAGCACAAGGCCCAAGGCGGGGAGGCAGGGATGGGGTGGAACAGAGTATATCACTTGATGCTTCTCCAAGGATTTAACTTTGCTGTTGGAGTACTAATGTTCTCTGTCTGCCTCCCTGCAGGTCCTCTCAGGCTGCGCCATCATTGTCCGAGGGCAGCCCCGTGGGGGGCCCCCTCCTGAGCGGCAGATCAACCTCAGCAATATCCGTGCTGGAAACCTCGCCCGCCGGGCTGCTGCAGGACAGCCAGATGCCAAGGATACCCCTGATGAGGTACGTGTCTCCTTGCTGGCCAACGGGCTCGTGCATAAGGCTGGATTGCATTTTACTCCTCATGCTCAGAGCACCTCGTACTGTGGCCAGGAACTTAATTTAGAATAAATCAGGGAGATAATGTGGTTGCCACCCAAATACTGCCTAGCCCTGGCAGATCGCCCAAAAGTAAACCAAGCCAGCAGTGATTTTTTTTGCACTGCTCAGTATAGCAAGTCCTCGGTCTTGGACCAGCGTAACTTGATCCATGAGGTGGTGCTCCGTGCTGGCGGGGTGGGGGTGTCAGTGCAGACCCAATGCCCAGATCTGGCACTAGGGGGTGCTGTGCTGCAGGAATGGACTGGAGTCTGATCCTAAAGCCCCAGGGCTGGGCTGCAGAGAGCAGTAGGGGTGCTCTCCCTTATGTACTGACCTAATGCCCCAGTATGGTGGTAGGGGCGCTGTGAATTGGGGGTCAGGCACAGAGTCCTGGACAGATTCTTGCTTCAGCCTCGTTTTGCCTTTAAATTTCTCTAGCTGAAGAGCACAGTTAATTGTCCTCATCTGGTGCTGTTGTCAGCCAGCTTGTTGAGTGCCCGCTCAGAGGGAGTGGAAAGCGCCACCTATTGAAACCACAGGGCTTCTTCCTACAGCCTCTGTGCTATCTATCCAAGTAGTAGGGTGACCAGATGTCCCGATTTTATAGGGACAGTCCCGATTTTGGGGTCTTTTTCTAATATAGGCTCCTATTACCCCCCACCCCCTGTCCCGATTTTTCACACTTGCTGTCTGGTCACCCTGCCAAGTAGTGACCAGGCCCAGCCCTGCTTAGCTTCAGAGTCAAATGGGTCACAGCTGGAGACGGGAAGGGAAATAATTCTCTGAGAGGGTTTGTGAAAAGACTAATTCACAATCACTCAGCCCAGAAGGTTTTACTCTCAGCTCAGATCCCTCTTTAGCTAGGCAGGCAGGCGTCGTTCTCCATCTAAATTCACTGGTTTAATATGAACAGATTCTATATTTGAGTAACTGTAGTGTAGCAGTGAGCTTCCCCTCCACTGCCCCAGGTAAATCTTCCATGCTAACATACAGCCTTGGTTGGGTATGGGGAATAGGGGCTGGCTCTGCAGCACCCCATCGGGGGATAAATAGGACTCCAGCTGCCTTCTTTTGCCCCCCAGGATCACCAGCACAAAATGTGTATAGACCTTACACAGACCTGTGCTGAGAGAAGCAAATTTCAGCTGCAAGGCTCAGACGTCTCATTACCATAGTCCTCTGCTTCAGTCTTAAGCACGACACAAGCTACAGGCTGCAGATGCTAACTCGGGAGACTCTGAGCTGCCTTTGACTCGCTTTGCTCGAGGGCTAAATATAGAGGATTTAAAAGTTCCTCAAAACCAGACCTATTGCTACCTCCTCCAAAGGGCAGGTATTAATGCAGCCCTTCCTCTCCCCCCACCCCACTTGTTCTGGCTGTAGGCACTCAGACTGGCCATGTTTGAGTGCAGGGCATTTTTTAGTGCTGAGTCAGGGAGCATAGAGACGCGGCCAGGTCATGATTGTATTATCCAGGGCTGTATATTGCATTACATTCTGTCCTGAGATTGAGGGTCCTGTAACTCAAGGTTTTATGTAGTGTTCTGGATACAGTTACTCAGCTCTGGGTTCCCTCCAGTGTCTGAACTGATACTGGTAGGATACAGTAGCCTGGTACATCCTGCCTGGTGTTTTGTAAGGAGTTTAGACAATGGATATCTACTGGAGGATCTCACTGCAGATGAATTAGCAGGGTACTCTACAAGGGCAGTTTAACCACTCACTTTCAGGCCTGCATATTAATTGCAGGACATATTGGTGTCAGTGCCTGAACTTGGCACAGCTCTGATCTTCCACTGGTGGAAGAGTGGGGGAAAGGAACTCCCCACACATCCTCCAAAACGTGGTGTTCCTGTCTGAGGCTGGGTATCAGTGGCTATGTGCTTGCAGATGGCACATCGATAGCGGGTGAAAGCTAGGGTGAGATTAGAACTTTTCAGTCCAGAGTGAGGTGCAGTGTTTTCAGTGTAGTTACTGGGTTCTATTCCCAGTTCAGATGCTGATCAACTGTTAACCTGTGCAAGTTGCTTCACCAAGTCTTACTGCTTGTTTGTTTGAAGAATAAATAGAACTGTTTGGGAATTTTTTAGTATATGGATATTGTTGGAAAACGCTGATTCCTGCAAAGGGTTTTGGTTTGAATGAAAGGGTCAATTTCAATGCATAGGAAAATTTTGAAAAACTTTAGAAGTTTCAAAATTAAGCTTTAATCAAAATGAAATATTATAGTTGACCTGATCAGAATTTCTTTTGGATGTTTGGCTTGCAAAGAGTCTAGATTTTGACATCCTGTCCTGATGATTTGGGGATGGGAATTTCTTTTCAAATTCATAGGAAAGGAAAACCGTTTCCTTCCCAGCTCTAAAAATCAAGGACTTTGGTTTTTTCCTGCAATAATGCACCATCTTGGGGAACAATATTTGGCAGAGTATCCGCATGTCCCATTTCAAAGCAAATGGGGAGGTGAGGCTGGGGATAATACTGAAAAATTAGCCCAGAACATCTTAGTGGTTAAGACACCATCAGGGCAACATTCACTTAAGTAGGCACTGCGAGCCAATGTATATAACGAACGAAGGGCTATCCCAGGGGGCGGCAGCCTTTCAGCAGTGGTGTGCCGAGTCTTCATTTATTCACTCTAATTTAAGGTTTCGCGTGCCAATCATACATTTTAACATTTTTAGGTCTCTTTCTAGAAGTCTATAATATAGAACTAAACTATTGTTGTATGTAAAGTAAATAAGGTTTTTAAAATGTTTAAGAAGCTTCATTTAAAATTAAAACACAGAGCCCCCCGGACCCGTGGCCAGGACCCGGGCAGTGCGAGTGCCACTGAAAATCAGCTCGTGTGCCATAGGTTGCCTACCCCTGGGCTATCCTAAACCAGTTTGAAGAGACGTCTCAGTTCTGACTTCTCCTCTTTCTGGTCCTGATATGTGAGCTGTTCTCTGAGGATAGAGTTCTGGTCACATCCTGTTGAAATAACCCATCTGACCAGGAAAGGGCCCAGACTGTATTCTTCCCCGGTAGGGGAGACATTCCTTACAGTAGAGTAGAGGAATCCCTGTGTGGATTCTCTGCTCTGTGCAGTGCAGGAGATCAGACTGGAGCATCATGATGGTCCCTTCTGGTCTGAAATGCTGAGTATTTGCAGCACTTGGATATCAGCATGTGTAAGGTCCGGATCTAAGCACTTTGTGTTGATTTGCAGGGAACAGAACAAAGGTTCAGGGACTTGCTTTTGGGGTCATGTGACCGATCAGAGTTTCTAGGATGAGTAGCTGGTGGCTTCCATTAATGCAGGGGTTCTTGGAAGAAATATTTTGGTGGCCTCAGTGTGTGGCCACCAACTCTTGTTGATGGCCGCTCTCTCACTTTTTCCTAAAATACTTAATTAACTTCAGGAAAAACAAACAAATATGCACATAGACATGGCTAAATCATTGTAACTTATTTGTTGCTAGCTAGTAAGTCTGTTATGAAAAGTGATAATAAATATACCAGTATCACTATTCACAGCAGACTTACTCAGCCCTGTCAACAAGCCTGGGGACAAATTAAGCCCTAGATGGGGGGGGTACCTGGGGGGCCTGGGGCAATGGGGGTGGGTTGGGGGAGGCAGTGGAGGGCTGGAGTCCGAAGCAGTGTGGCCAGAGCCTGTTGCCCCGCTGTCTCGCCACCCCAGGTCTGAAGCCTAAAGCCTGAACCCCATCACCTCTGGGAAGGTGGGAAAACTCACTGGCTGCCTGGTCCTCCAGCATTGTGCTCCAGTGTCTCCACAGGGGGAGCAGTGCCCAATCACTGCTGGTGGCCCCACTAATCAACACCAAGGCAATGCATCCAGGAGCAACAGGAAGGGGCTGCTTCTTTGCACACACATCCCCCCCCCCCCCCCATAACAGTCCAGGAGGCTGTGGCACAGTGGCCGCATTTGAGAGAAACTGCATTAATGGCTGTGGCGTGTGCTGATTGCTCACTGAGTGGTAATGAACTTGCCCCATGTCCTCTTTTGGATAGAGGTGGTGGAGTTAGAATTAAGCCAAACCTGGGCCACCCACCCTCCCTGTGTTAGATGCAGTATAGAACTCCCTTAAACTGCAGGTCTCCTTGCAATGAGACTCTCCCTGGGGAGATGGTCTCCTGAACATCTTGCTTAGATGTATAAATGTCTCCTGCTTTATAAAATCACACCTGTCAGTTCAGCTAATTGTTGGTGGCTAGAACAGTGTTCTTCCCAGCCCATTTTCTCTGCTTGCCTGACCCAGCAATGACGTTGTAATACTGAGTTTCTGCCCTTGCAGCCTTTCTGTGGTTGGAGTGTGGGCTGGGGCATGGGACTGGGGGGGGGGGGCGGGTAGAGCTCAGATCCCACTGATGAAGCAGTATGGGCATACAAACTACCATAGAACATTAGACAGGAAATAGCCATTAGCTCATCTAGACCCCTAGGCCAGGGAAAGATTGCTTCTTAGTATGTTTGGCGCTGTTTGGTCCAACTTTAATTGTCTAGTGTTGGGGCTTCCACCTGTGCCTTGGGCAGGTGATTCCACAGCTGTATTCTTACTGTGAGGGTCTTCAATCCATAGTTTCCTCTGGCTGAATTTATGCAAGTGAGAGAGTAGGGAAGTGCCGTTGCCAGCCCGAGGCCCTATGGCATGGTCTCTGTTTTCCCTGCTGAGACTATCTGGACAGTATTCATTGTTGCCCCGGGGAGTGGTTGTGATCCTGACTACTTTGGAGCAGATCAAGAGGACAGCAATAGTATAAATGTTGTCTTCTAACTGGGGCTGCTCCTGACCTGTCAGGGCTGGACAGACTTACTTTCCAGCAGATGTCTCCTGGTATCTTTCGCTTCCAAACCACTGAACTGCAGGTGGCCTCACTGGGGTCTCCTGCAGGAGCAGTGGAATGCTGTCTGGCCAAGAGAACACCTGGCTCCTACGTAGCTCTTTTCATCAGCAGGTCCCAGTACGAAGGAGGTCAGTATCATTGACCCCATTTTACAGATGGGGAAACTGAGTAACTTGCCCAGGGTTACCCAGTAGGCCAGTGTTGAAGGTGAGACTAGGACCCATATCTCCTGAGTCCCAATCCAGTGCTCTGTTTACATTGCCTCCCTATGAGATCTCTATGCACTGTGTCCAGCAGTGGAAGGGGAACCCTTAGGGTCTGATGGTGCCCAGATTGACCTCCAGTGACTAAGTTTTCTGTTTTCCCCCCAGCCCTGGGGATTTCCGGCTCGTGAGTTCCTGCGAAAGAAGCTCATTGGGAAGGAGGTGTGCTTCACTGTGGAGTACAAGACCCCGCAAGGCCGGGAGTATGGCATGGTGTACCTTGGGAAAGGTGAGTAGTGGCTAGGGAGCTGTCAGACACCCACAAGGCAAAGTGTGCCATGCAGGTAGTTGAAGTGACGTGCTGCCCCTCAGTCTGGAGCTGCTGCTTAGTCCGGGTGAGCCTGACACCCGGCTGTACATTGCCGTTCTTCCTTCTGTGGTATCTTCCATCGTGCAGGCCTCAGGCTGCCATTTATAGCATTGCCACTAATTCTAGGGAAGTTCAGGTGCGGTTCTCACTGGGCCTCCGGGCACCCACTGGAGTTGGGTGCTGTGTTCCTATAGTGCGGTTTGCTTTGCTGGAGCCGCAGACTGTCATCGCTGAATGTGTTTGGGCTCCAGGCTGCGTCAGGTCATGGTGCTAATTGAATTCCCTTAGATTTCCTGTTGCAGCCCTTATTGCCATTATAAATCTTGTGGCTTTAGTCAACCGGAGACAGGCAACGGAAAGGAGTTCTCATAACTCCTGTTTAGTTCGTTAGCATCCTCGGACTGTCGTGTGGGTCAGTGCAGTGAGAATCGATGTTCATTGCCCATGGAGCTGCTTGAGAACAGCGACTTATAAGTGCCAGATAACCCACTTCTGAAACGGGAGTAGCGCTTTGAATGCACCCATTGTCCTTTTTAGGCCATTGCTTTAGTTTAGCTTCTGAATGTTCTATAACTTATAGCATCCTTCATACAAAGCTTCACTGAGCAGCTTGCAATGAGCTGCCATAGACAGCATGCTTAGACGGAGTCTGTTAGGGTCGTTCCTGCATACAGAAAGGGGCAAAGCGACCGATGGAGCAAGGAAAAAGGATCTGAGCTGTAAAAGTGGCACAGCTGCCATAAATATCCAGGGGGCTAGTTCCAGGGAGGAGGGGCTGGGGCTCAGGGAAGAGGAAGGCAAGTTGTGTGGTCTGAAGTTGAATGCTCAGGGCATAAAATGTTTTCTAGTCAAGCTCATCAGTCCAGGCTCTTGTTCCTGTTCTGATGGCTGAGAATTTAGTCTGTATGTCCTTGTCCTTTGCCATGGAGCGGGTCAGAAACCAAATCTGTGTTCTTCCCACCTCCAGGAGTTTTTGAGAGTGGGGGCAAAGGCGGTCATACACACACACAGCTCCCTGCCTAATGGGGCCTTGATTCTGATGTCTGGGGGCCTTTGGGTGCTTTCAAAGATTCCCAGGCCAGAAGGGACCACTCTGATCTTCTAATCTGACCTCCTGTATAATGCAAGCTGTAGCACTTCCTCACAATAATTCCTAGAGCAGGGCTTTTAGAAAAACATACAGCCTTGTTTTTAAGAATGGCTAGTGATGGCAAATCCACCACAACCTTTGGTAAATGGCTCCCAGGGGTGGTTTACCCCCGCTAGGACTAAGCTGGGAGGAGGATATTTGAGCAAAGTGTGGGTAGAGAGACGAATGCGAGGAAAGAAGCTATAAGGTGTTGGATGGAGAAGGAACAGATACAAACCAATAGAGAGAGAGACTACGAACTATGACAAGAAGTGGAGAGAAGCCAAGAATGAGTGCCCAACGAAAGTCAGACACGCAGAGGAAGTCACCTTTTGCTTTTCATTCACACAGTAGAGGGGATTGTCAGCAGGTCCCAGCTAAAAGCAGTGCACGAGTGGGGCACAAAGTTCGAACCTCTTCTCCCGGAGCGGGAGAGAAAGGACTTTAAGGCTCTGGTGGATGAGGGGGCGACGGCGGCCAAAGGGGCCCTTCAGGCCACGTTGGACGCGGCCGACACGGCAGCCCGTTCCATGGCGTCCGCAATATCTATGTGCAGGGCGTTGTGGCTCCTCCTGTCCGGGCTATCGGCGGAGGCCCTGTCCCTCATGCAGGACCTGCTGTTTGATGGAAAAGCTCTGTTCGCAGATCAGACGAACATCAGGCTGCACGGGATGAAAGATTCCCGTACCACTCTGCAAACCTTGGGCCTCTACGTACCTCCGGCTAAAGACCAGGCCAAACCGCAACTGTCGGCTCAACCGGCTAGGAGCAGATACAAGCTCCTGTACGAGAGGCCGAGGGACCAGAAGCGCCGGTCTCAGTGACAGTCCCGCTCTGCTCCGCAGCCAGGGCCCTCTAAGGGCAAGAGGCAGGGAAAGAGGCAGTGTTGACTATTTGCACCCCTCCCCCCCGATGGGCCTGGGGGACCCGGAGCATGCCCACCTCCTAGGGCAGGAGGTGGAGCGACTGCTGCACCTGGGGGCGGTGGAGAGAGTACCAGTAGAATTCCAGGGCAAGGGTTTCTACTCCCGATATTTCCTGATCCCAAAGGCAAAAGGGGGCCTCAGGCCCATCCTGGACCTGCAGGATCTCAACCGTTTTCTGGTCCTCTCCAAGTTCCGCATGGTGTCCCTGGCCTCTATTATCCCTTCCCTGGACCTGGGGGCCCTGGACCTTCAGGACGCATATTTTCACATCCATATTTTCGAGGGGCACAGGCGCTTCCTCCGCTTCCTAGTGAGGTTAGACCACTACCAGTTTGTGGTCCTCCCGTTTGGCCTATCCACTGCGCCCAGAATTTTCACAAAGTGCATGGCTGTGGTAGTGGCCTACCTCAGACGGGAGGGAGTACAGATCTTTCCATACCTGGCCGATTGGCTTCTCAAGGGCAACTCTCGGTCCCAGGTAAGGGCCCATGTGGAGCTGCTCCTGTCCACATGCGTTGATCTCGGCCTAGTGGTAAACAAGACCAAGTCAACGTTGGTTCCAGTGCAGCGCATAGAGTTCATTGGGGCGCTGCTGGACTCCTCAAGGGCCCCAGCCTCTCTCCCGCTGAGCAGGTTCGAGGCCCTAAAAGATCTCATTGCCTCGGTCACGGCTTTCCCGGTGACAACGGCGAGAGCGTGCCTTCGGATCCTGGGGCACATGGCGGCATGCACGTATGTGGTCCGCCACGCCAGGCTCCGGATGAGGCCCCTCCAGCTCTGGCTAGCCTCCCAGTTCTCTCAGGCCCGGGATGGGCTAGACAAAATTCTCACGGTACCGTCCCCGATACTTGCCTCCCTACAATGGTGGTCTTACTTGAGCAATACGTTGCAAGGGGTTCCTTTTCGGGAGGCGACCCCGTCTTTAGACCTGGTGTCCGATGCGTCGACTTGGGCTGGGGAGCTCACACAGGGAACATACAAACCCAGGGGATGTGGTCAACTGCGGACTTGTCCCTCCACATAAATGTCAAGGAGCTCAGGGTGATGCAGTTGGCCTGTGTTGCCTTCAACACGCAACTTCGCGGCAAAGTGGTCAGAGTCCTGATGGACAACACCGCCGCGATGTACTACATCAACAGGCAAGGCAGGACTCGCTCGAAGAAGAAAAGACAGTTACCTGTTCCGTAACTGGTGTTCTTCGAGATGTGTTGCTCAGGTGTGTTCCACATCCCGCCCTCCTTCCCCTCTTTCGGAGTTGTCCGGCAAGAAGAAACTGAGGGTGGGGGGAGCGCGCAGCTCCCCTTATAGCGCGATATAGAGGCGCCACTCCAGGGGTCGCAGCGGTGCTCCCCCAGTATGGGTACTGCTAAGGGAAAAACTTCCGGCACCGGTGCACGTGGCGAGCACGCACACCTACTGTGGAATAGACAGGAGCAACACATCTTGAGGAATGCCAGTTACGGAACAGGTAACTGTCTTTTTTCAGCCCCGTTCTTGTGGAAGCGCCCCTTTGGAACGCATGATGGAAATGAGGCATACATTTAACAGTGAAGGTAATTAACCACTGGAACCATTTACTGGGGTTGTGGTGGATTTTCCATCACTGGCAATTCTTAAATCCAGCCTGGAAGTTTTGCTGAAAGCTCTGCTCTAGGAATTTATTTAGGGGCAGGTCTCTGGCCTGTGTTAGAGGAGGCCAGACTAAATGATCACAATGGTCCTTTCTGGCTTTGGAATCTGAGTAACTTATTCCGAAATGGTGCGGTGGGGTTAAAGACCTTGCGGACTCTTAAGTATCTGCCAGGTCAGGATTTGAATGGGAGACCTTCAGAGAGCTCCTCGAGGATGCTCTGGAATGAAACACAAGGGTATGCCCATGGTACTATCACTTTCCTCTTCCCTGAACTCCAGGTGTACATCAGTAGTAAAAATGAGGGGCACTGACAGGAGGAGAGCCCTGGTTGCCTTCCTCTCCATGCTACATTTCCCCCTCCTTTCTTCTGTTCTCTGTTCTTTGTTCTCTATCGTCTGTTTTGCTAATTCCCTTTGACTTTACTGCTTGTTGGGTCTCTGCGGGCATAGGCGCTGACTTAGTTTTCCCTAGGGGTGCTCCGCCCCTTCCCGCAAGGCCCCACCCTTGCTCTGCCTCTTCCTGCCCCTGTTTTGCCCGCTCCCCGAGACCCCCCCACCTGCTCATTGCTCTCTGCCTTCCCCCAAGCCCCTCCCTGAGCCGCCAATCAGCTGTTTGGTGGTGTCACCAAATTGCTGATCGGCAGCGGTGCCACTGAACAGCTGTGGCTGGTGGGTTCTGAGCACCCACTTTTTTTTTTTCTGTGGGTGCTCCAGCCCTGGAGCACCCATGGAGACAGTACCTGTGTCTGCAGGGACAGGAGTTCTGGTTCACGCAGGGAGATGGCTGAAGAAGCTGAATAGGGCTGACCTCGTGTGTAAATAGATTGGGCAAATGCATTTTGCTTCCCTATTTCCCCGTGCTGGATTAGTTAGTTCCTGCTCCTCAGCTGTCAGTTCAATGCACAAGGATCTGAAGTGCCGAAGGGAGAAGGCTCAAGCCAATGCGCAGTAAGCTGGTGGGTCACTGTCTAAAGAGGGAAAGGATAACACCAACCAGTCATACAGTGCTGTCCTAACCTAGCAGTAGACTAACAGGAGCATAACTTTCATCAGCCTTCAGAGTGTCTGGGTCACTAGTGAGTCTTCAGTCTCATCCATCTCTCTGCATGCAAGGGATTGTTCCCTGCTAAACCGGTCTGTTTTATGCTTCAGACTCTAGCAGGACATTTTTTCTGGAGTCAGGTTGTCCCATCACTGCTGTTGCCCCTGCCTCTGGAGTAGCTTGCAGATGGAGACGGGACATGGAACTAGATGGACTGCTCATCTGATCCAGTCTGGCGGCTGTTGCCCTCAGGAGGGAAGGATGGGTACCAGCGCTTAGGGCACTAGCGTGGCACTTGGCAGACCTAGGCCAGTTCTGTGCTCTGGCACAGACTGCATATAGCCTTTGGTGAGTCTCTCTCTGGGCCTCGTTTCCTGCACCTGTTCTACCTTATGGGGGTGTGGGAGGATAAGTGCATTAAAGACTCAGACACGGGGGCCAGATAAGAACCTTTAGGTTCTTACACGTCCCAAGCATTGTGGCTTCTACCCCTTCCCTAAAGGTTGAGTGCACAGCCTCCTGCATCTCGCAGTCGAGAGTCTTCACCAGTGCTCTGCTCAAGTAGACTTCCTTAATGTCCTCCTGCTGCCCCTACTGATTCCTCTCCTTGGCTACAGTAAGCCCTCTGTATTCACCTATTTCCACTGTTTTCAGGTCTTTCCTCCATAGTGGTCTCTCAGCTGCTCGTCAGATCTCCACTCCTGTGCTCTTTCCTGAACTCCCATTTGTCAGTCCTGTCTAACTCGCTAACACCAGTGTGACCCTATTTGAGTTTCTGCTCAGGAGAGGCCTGGAAATTGAGTCCCGGCCGCGGCAGGTACAATGGCCGAACTGTGTATAGGGAGTGCCTGCCTTGCCAGCATGCTCAACTCCCTCCCCCTCTTACAAACCATTCACTCTTTGGTCTCTCCCAGGCATTCCAATAAGGGGCTGCAGCTGTGTGTAACCTGTCACCAGCCTTCCTACAGTAACTGCTATTAGTTGCTCTTGAACCATTGACAGAGGTAAGCTGCTGCCCTACCAGTGTCTGAGCCATTCAGCCTATCACATAGGAATTGCCAGACTGGATCAGACCCAGGGTGCATCTGGCCTGGTCTCCAACAGTGGCCAGCACCAAATGCTTCAGAGGGAGGTGTGAGAATCTCCTCAGTAGCCAGTTGTGGGATAATCTGCCCCCATAATCCTTTTGAAAAGCTGATGCTACGACTGACTCCTTGGGAGAGGACCACTGTCTCTGTAACTCCCTGGCTTCTGTAGCAAATCCATTCTTCTGTCAGGAATCTTGGAGCGTTTGTGTATTTATCATCAGAAGGCAGAAGTAGAGCACGTAGTCTGCTGGAAATAAATCTTGAAAGGATTTTGTTCTGACGTGACACTGCTATCAGTTTAAGTGCTCTGTTTCAGTATTCTTCATCCTTGTTCTCTGCCACATAAAAGATTTTTATGCCAGGCTTCCTGTGTAGGTGTCTCCCTTATTGTTAAACTGTGTGACAGGACAGGATTTAGATGAATAGACGAAGCATAAAACATTTCCTGATGAAGTTTGTCTAGATGTCAATACAATTAACAATGCCACAACAGCCTCACCAGGCAGGTGCCTTCCTCCAGCTGGATTCTAGCTCTCTATTAGTGGTCAGAAGCTTGTAACCTTTGTACCTTGTTCTTAGCTTTGGGTTGAGCAGAGTGGGAGAAGCACGCACCTTATGAATTGGAAACACACCAGCTGGGGCCTTAGAACCAACCTGGATTTGTCCTTCACTTCTGCTTCTCTTTTAAGGATGTAGCATCACTTATTTCTTCTTTTCGATGTCTAATAGGAGCGTCTTCCCCCACTATGAAGAGCAAAAGGATTGCTACGGTTCTAGAAATGTCTGAGGAAATCTGACATGGATTCATTCTGAATGTACCTAGAGCCAGAGGCTGCTGCAGCCTCACCTGGGTAGGCCATGAACTGGGGGGAGAGCAAAGCAAAAACCTTACCTCTTCCGATCACCCAAGTTGTCAGTTCCTGCCAGCTACTAATCTGCCCCCTCCCTTGCCAACAAACTGTTCCAGCCTCTCGGGCTGGAGAGAACCCCATGTCTGAGTCGGTGTCTGTTCTGTGGAGTCCAGTCAGATGCACCCTTGAATGGCTGTGGTCAGGTGTGACCCATCGCTGCCACGTTAGACACAAAGTTGGCTGTTGATTCTGAACAGAAACAGGTGTTTGTGCGGCTGTGCACTATTGTAGCAGTTCATGATCTCACCCTTTCCTGGGTTTGTCTAGAATTCTGGTTCTTTCCGATGGCATTTCAAAATCCCCTTTGATCCTGTTGCATCTAATTACCTGCCTGTCCTATGCACTGGCTTCTGCTGCAGAGGATGGCCTGGTCACGTATAAATATTCTTTATCCCAGACTGATGTGCAGATCTTATGTCAGATTTTCTCCCTTATTTTCTTCCCCTTCCTTAATTCAGTGTCATCAGAGAGTGGCATGCCCCATATATTCTTATCCTTGTGCTTTGCTGACACCACACTCCTCCTTGACAACCAGTGCCTGTTGCATCATGGTGCCACCAGACTGGCACTGCGTTGATCTAGGTGTTCCCTGGGGCAAAGGGACACTCAGTGGTATTGGTGATCTGTGAGACTGGTGCTCCTGAATCATTCCAGCACTTCTAGGAAATCCTGCCTGAAGTGGCCACATGGCAGCTGCTAGAACCCTGTTTTGTGGCCAAGCCTGCCCTTCACCTCTCCGAGCATGCAGAGGGATTGTCAAGGTGGTGGTTTGGAGGAGGTGGGTATCAAACTCCATAATCTAAATGACTGGGTGAAAGTGGTTAGCTGGGCAATTAACTAAGTCTGCTCTGAACAGAGTTCACTTGTGCTAAAGTGCTTTTAATGCTTTTTTTGGGGTGCAGTGATCCATATTTCGTGTGTGGGTGGGTGGTTTGTGATGGTAAAAGTTGTTGATGGTAGCTGTGGGGACAGAAGCTCTTTCTCCCCCCTAAAGCCGAGATGGCACAGGGCAAAGTTCACTCTACTGTCCTTCCCCCTCCCCTGCCTTGCCAATATCGTTCCGTTGACTGTCCCATTCAGTCCTTGACTTCTCAGCCAAAATTGCCAGGTGCAGATGCCCGTCGCTTGAATCTAAGGGGAGGCACCAAGCAGCCACCAGCTGGTAATGCCTTCCAGTCTTCACTGAGCTGGGGCTGGATTTGAATAGAAAACTTATTCTAGGTTCCATGCTCGCTTAGTGGCCACCATGCCAGCAAGCTTGCCTGTGAATCCCTTCTGAAATTAGTGAAGCATCGTGCCTGTTCTATTAGCGTCATGCCTTGTAAACATTTAATCCACTAACACGTGTAGGCCAGTGGTTCTCAACCTATTTACCATTGTGGGCTGCATGTGCAGCTCTCTGTTCTATGTGAGCCACATCCACACAATTTATATATTACCTGTACGGCCCTGAGGATGTCACATGAGACACAATTGTGTGCTGATTGGGCTGCAAGCAGCCCATGGGCCCCGGGTTGAGAGCTACTGGCGTAGATGGACAACGGAGGTGCCAAGGTGTGCACATAACAAGCCTAACTCTCCATCGAAGTAACTTTAACCTTGCCCTCCCTTTGCTTCCTTGTTTGTTGCTTCCAGTGGTTGTCTCAATTGATATTTCACTCACAAGTCTTTTGTCTATAAAGAGCCTCCTGTATAGCTGTCTCTCATCCAAAGAGATGCTATGCAGCGATAGGACTCGGAACTTTGCTCTCATTGATTCTGATTTTGTTTCTTTCCCTCTTACCAGACACGACTGGGGAGAACATTGCTGAGTCTCTCGTGGCAGAAGGCCTGGCCTCTCGCAGGGAAGGAATCCGAGCCAATAAGTACGTATATTTCCTGCTCTCCTCTAAACTTGTTCTGGGATTCAGATGTTTTGTGGCACTTGACGTTCCCAAACAGCTTTGCTTTGACTTTGCTGTGGTGACAGGACAAAGCTGTTGATTAATTACTTCCTCACTCCTGTTCAGGGACCAGCTATTGGTTGAGTTCTAGGCTTTATTCAGTATGGTGTCGGGTGCTTTATCTCAGGCTATGCTAGCAACTTCCCAGCTGCAAGTCAATGGGACTTGTGCTCCGAAGTCATGCCCTTGGATGCCTAAATATAGGCTTAGGAGCCAAACTTTAGGGTATTTTTGAACATTTTAGCCTGTGAATAAAAATGTCAACTTAAAAGTTTGGCCTTCCAATACATTAATACTGAAGCAGTTTACTTGTAAAGTGACAAAGATTTTTCTACTAAACCAATTGGCTTGCTGGGAACAGGCATTCCAAAATGGCAGCTCCCCCCTCCTTTGGGGTCATGGCAGAAGGAGGGTAAACAAAGAATCTTCTCCCCCCTCACCAGGCTTCTCCTATACTCCAGAGCTACTGAAAATGTGAGACCTCTCTAGCTGCAAAGCAACCTCTTTGAGGCTGTCGTGGGCCTTCTGTCAGAGCATGCTGATGCACTGGAAGATAACACTGCAATTAATACTGATTTTCCCAACTCTGTATCCCACAGACGCAACACTCACTCAGCCCACATGCATGCGGCCCTTAGTGTCTGCCAGGATGCACAAAACTTGTGTTAGAGCCTTGGAGTTGGCATGTTAACTTTCCAGTCTCTGTCCTGTGTCTGGAAGCGATATCCCCAAAGCTTTCATGAGTAGCTTTTCCACTGGCCAGCTCTTGGGAGACCCAGGATTTTAATGACGATATCCCAGGAACTCCCCAGTGCATCCCTAGGCATGGGTTATTATATTACACGGGGTGTGAATTGTCTATGGAGCTGTTCTATATATAGCTGTTGGATGCTATTTTATCCTTTGTCGGGTTGGAAGCATGCCTGTATCATTTCCTCAAGCCCGTTACTAGCACTTGGATGTCTTCCACTGGAGGTTTTCATAGCACAGTCTGTAAACAGGTATGCTGAGTAAACACTGCCCACATTGCCAAGGGTCTGGATTTTAGCTCCAGTCTTGCCAATAAAGAAAATTCTGCAGTGCCAGGTGTTTCCCAGGAGAGCTGGGGGCCCTGGATTAAGCTCCTCTTGCTCTTGGTTGCGTCTTTCAGGAACCAAGTCCCTAAAAGCTTTCTTCTAGTGATAGTACTTAAGGGGTGTACAGTACGGTGCTTTGCAATCCCACTGCTGGGGAGGGAGGTATAATCCCCATTGTTTCCCTATTCCCTGCAGAAATTAGACTCCCCCAGTATCAGCCAGCAAGGCAGTGATGCCATGAGCACAGCACCTCTGCAATGCCTGATGCCCAGTCTCTGCTTGGTCCACTAGACTGTGCTGTCGCTCAGGAGCCATTTGAGCTCAGTAGTGCAGACCTCATTGCCCGACTCATCCAGAACTACTGGTCAAATATAGACTTGCATTTAGATAGTGCCTTGTTTCCTGAAAGGCTGCAAATGGCTTCCCAAACTATAGACACAAATCACATCACCCACGACTGAAACGCAGCCCCTTCTGAAATCTTCTCTGTTAGAACACTTGCGAAACGCCCGGCAGGCCTGAAAATGCATCAGCTCCCCCATATACATCTTCCCATGGGGAAGAGTCACACTTTCACTGAGCAAGGCTCTGCCCCACTGCATCCCATACTGGGTCGCTGCACCAATGCACTTCCAGCTTTGGCATGAAATTCTACTGATGCAGCTGCAGCAGCACCCTGATTCTCCCAGTGCAATCCCACAAAGCTGCTATGCTGCCTGTGGACATGGCATGATGTGTGCACCTTAAACAGGAGAGCTAGGCTGGACTCTAGGGACCAACACAAGTTGCAGCAGTGCAGTTGTCTGTTGCCAAGCTTTGGGAAGAACAAGGCAGTTATTTAACTGAACCCAGCAGCATAGCTGTTCAGAGCACAAAGTGAAATCCTGTGCAATTAAAATGCAGGGGAAATGAAAGGCCAGAACACGAGGATTAATACACCTCTTGGTCATGCTATGATATCCTTGATGACTGTAAGGGTCAATCCCAATGAAGAATGGTTGGTGGATACAAACCATAAGCAACTAACAAACCAACTTTTGTTTAAATCAGAATTGTTCCCAAGTTGTAGTTCTTTACTTACCATGCTATAGGCTATGTCTACACTGCAGCTGGGGGAGTGATTACCACTCATGTAGACGTACCTGCACTCATTTAATCAAGCTAGCTTGCTAAAAATAGCAGTGAGGACAGGACGCACAGGCTTCAGCGTGAGCTGCACAACCCCCCTGGGTACCTACTGGCGTTGCTAGACTGTGCCACCATGTCCTCACCATTGTTTTTAGCAAGCCAGTCTGTAGAGCTAGTGTGGGTGTGTCTACACGAGCTGCAGTCAGTCACACAGTCCTGGTAGTGCTATAGACATACCCAGGATCTTACATTGCTAAAGTGGATGTTGTACTTGTTTCTTTGGATTCCTAACTAAGACCTTGTCTACACTACAGGTTACTTTGGTGTAACTTTGTCATTCTGGGGTGTGAATAATCCACCCCCTGAGCTTCGTAAATTACACGGAACTAAGCACCAGTGTAGACCATGCTATGTCGGCGGGAGAGCTTCTTCCATAGCTACACCTTTCGCGGAGGCAGTAGTTAAGCTGATGAGAGAGCTCTCTCTCAATGGCTTAGTCTTCCCACCACAAGCGGTGCAGCTGCAGCCTTACAATCTGATTTTATGTAGACGTATTCTGCTAGAGTGTAACACTTAAAATACTCCTCTGTGCTGAGAGAGACCAGTCCAGAGCCTCACTGATATCCTTGCTCAGAGAGGAATGCAAACGTTGTTTGGAAATAGTGGGCAAATAGCCTGTGCTTTATCACCACCCTCTGAGCCACCAATTGAGAGCTGAAATGCTTGAACCAGGCTGTACTCCTGTATTAGGAATTGCAGTTTTCAGTCAATGGGACTTGTGCTCTTAAGTCGCACCCTTGGGTGCCTAAATATAGGCTTAGGAGCCAAACTTCAGGGTATTTTTGAACAATTTAGCCAGTGAAGAAAAATGTCAATAACTCAGCGTATTGAAGGCCAAACTTTTAACACTGAAACAGTTTACTTGTGAAGTGACAGATTTTGCTACTAAACATTTTTAATACAGTTTAGTCCCTGACGCTGCAAGCACTTCCACACATGCTTAACTTTCATCACATGAGTACTCCTGAAGGAATTGTTCATGTGAGTGAAGTGAGTTACCCCCTTGTGTTTGCGGGATCAGGGCCTTCCCTGTCAATGTTCTTTGCCGCTACCAGTGTGTAATTCAATAAGGGACCCAGCCATAGAGACATTTTTAAAAAACCCGCGTTTAGTTCATTGTAAATGGTAGCTGTACGCAGCCTCTCTTAACCTCTGTGCCTTAGGTAACTGCTTGCAACTGACTGCAGAACAGTGTGCTGCTTGCCCCTTGGCGAACAGGAAGGCAGGGTGTTCAACTCAAGCCAACACAGACATCGCACGCTGCCTTGAGTCTTTTCCTATTTCCTCAGGCCTAGATGAGAGGTGGGGTGGCATGTCTCCGAGCCAAAGGGAGAGGCTGGGAGAGCTTGGTAGTGGCACAAGTGCCATGAGCTCTTCCCACCCGATCCAGACATGGAATATGTCGCACTCTGCATGAGAAGTTGGAACCCACAGCTCCTCCTTCACTGCGGGCTCCTGTTTAGACCCCAAGGCAATTTCAGGGGTCGGGAAAGCAGATACGGTATAAAGGAGCACTTTGGCCATCAACCCACCCCGTCCAATGCAGGATCAGTCCTTTACCAGGATCAAGGAATTTAAATCACTGATTGTTTTTGTTTTTTTAATGTCGGGGGAGGGCTTGCAAAGCTAATTTGAAAGTTTGCTATTGCAACTTTAAAATTTATACTGAACACAATGCAGGTTTTTTTTTTAAATGCCACTATGGCTGGGTCCCTTATTGAATTACACAACACTGGTAGACGCAAAGAACATTGACAGGGAAGGCCCTGATCCTGCAAACACAAGGAGGTAACTCACTTCCCTCACATGAACAATTCCTTCAGGAGGAGTACTCATGTGGTGAAAGTTAAGTGTGTGGGGAAGTGCTTGCGTTGGGTGTCTGGGTCCTATATCCTATTTCAGGCTATGAAGTAGGATGGTCTCCTGATGCAGGGAAAGGACCCTTTGGCCCTCTTTGAGCTGGGATGCAGTACATGGCTTTACTGCCAAGCTGTGGAAACCAGGCCTCCCGCTCCAGAGGCTGGCTTTCAGCTTGCACAGTGCCAGCAGTCCAGTCCTGCTGGCGTCCCGTGCCCAAGCAGAAGGAAGAACCATGTGGTGCTGCACTGCTATATGAGAGTTTCTTTGAGTCTCTTGCTGGAAGTGCGTCGAGCATGATAGTGGAGTGGCAGTGCTCTGGGCTGACAGCTGCTCTTGTTATGAGATGATTGCATTAATAAATTGGCTAATGATTCCAGAACAGCTGTTGCTAACAGGCCAGATATCCCTGTACTCAAACTTGGTAAGGCTCCTTTTGCGTTAAATAGAGCTGAAGTGGCTCATGAATTCTCTGCTGAGAGGCTTCCATGCACGTTCTGAGAGAAGTGAGATGTGGAAGTACAATGTGGTGTGATTTGCAGTGCTGATATCTGTTGGCGCCTGTTAATTATGTTAACTGTTCACGGGGGTGAGTGAACCTCTGTCACTGCTCTTCCTGGCTTGTGCCTTATGGGAGCACTTCCAGCATGCACTTCAGACGCTTGCTTCCATTGCTGCAAGGACTGCCTCATACTGCATCAGCATGTACAGCAATGTCTCGATACTCTTTGGTTAGCTCTAGGATCCAAGGATGGAGGCAGGCTCTTCCTAGCCTAGTTGGAAATTGACTGCAGTGTTCACTTCTACTATGCTTCAGAAGATAAGCCTGCAGTTCCTGGAGCCAGGCTGGTGAAACCAGCTCCGTCTGCAGACCGTGTTCCCTAGTCTGTGGCAGTCCAGTCGTTAACACAGGGAGTCTGGGCCCCTGTGCTGGATTACTGGCTCAGCCACTCGCTTGCTGAGGGACCTTGGGCCGGTCACTTAATCGTTGTGGCTATGTCCCACAAAGGGAGGAATTTATTTCTGACTTGGATGCTGTGCGACGTAGGTTGTGTCTGCGCAGACAGTATGACCCCACAATTCTTCCTGGGTTTAGCTCCACTGGGGGGAAGCTGTAGCAAAGGGTTGGGTCTCTTTCCCACGGTACTGGGGGATAGATTGCACCGTGGTATGATGCCTGGCCAGCCTTGGGTGTTCATCCAGCTAATCCTCTTATAAGGATGGCCTCAGTGCTGTACTTGTAAAGCTCTAACTTCCTCAGCTGTGAGATGCTAGACAAGATTCCTCTAGTCTCTGGTGTGCTGTGCACACTGTGATTAGCAAGGCAAGGTCTGACTTTCCCCTGTATCTGTTCGACCCGAGTGGTGGTTGGATTGTTAAAGCATCCAGCAGTGAAATGTCAAGTCAAATGTGTGCTCCCTGGAGCAAACCTTCTTGGTAAAACATGCAAGATAGCAATGCCCCAGCATCCAACTGCCTGCTATGCACAGCCCCCACACCTCTGCCCTGACTTGTATGCTCTTACAATAGAGCTGTGTTTTCTCCTAGTCCTGAGCAGAACAGACTGGCTGAGCTGGAAGATCAGGCGAAGGTTGCGAAAAAAGGAATGTGGAGCGAAGGAACAGGCTCTCACACGGTCCGGGATCTCAAGTACACGATTGAAAACCCACGCCACTTTGTGGACTCCATGCACCAGAAGCCAGTCAATGGTAAGCGTGCGCTCCAGGTGAAGCAGCATGGTGGGGTACCGGCGAGCACATAGCTGTGGGATGTTCACATCCTACCGGCGCTTACGTATGCACTGTTCTTGGAGCTCTGACCGGCCTCGGTTTGCAGTCTGCCCCAGCGGAGGCTGCTGGGTGCATATCCCAAGTGAATTGGCCTTTCGTGTCCAGGGCGGGGGATTGCAGTGTGTGCTGCTTGTGTGTGGGTTTTTTCTCCTGGCTGGGTTTGATTGAATGCTGTGGGGGGAGGAGCGTAAAGTTGGTGCTGTTCTCTTCCTGAGAGTTGACCCTCACTCGTTTCTGTTCTGCAGCCATCATAGAACATGTCCGGGATGGCAGCGTGGTCAGAGCCCTGCTCCTCCCCGATTACTACCTGGTCACCGTCATGCTTTCTGGCATCAAGGTGAGTCATGGCTCTTGTTTCCTTTTTTTGGAACCATGTCTCCAGGTTTGCAACCAGACCTGTGCTGCAGAGGGCCTTCAGGCTTGTTGCAGGCATGCCGGTATCCTCCACTGCTCTGTGCTGAGCTGCACTGCCCGGTGGGGTGTGCCTACTCTAATGTGCATTGCTGCTTTGAATGAGGAGAGTCTGGGCTTTCACCAGTAACCCCCATTAAACCTCCTGAACCGGAGCATCACAGCTTTTAAGTTGGTCTTATTCCCTGGCACAGTGTCCATTAAGTTCCCTGTCCAGGACTGCCTCTTTGGTAACTTTCAGGCACCTGTGTCCTCACCCCTCCTCTAGACTTCACAAGGAGACAGTGGCTGCTCATCTCTATGTCTCCTGCAGAAAGTGGGAGTTAGGAGACCTTAGCTACTTAAGAGTCGAAGACTTAGTCGCTGTCTTTTAGTAGCTTGGGGCGACAAGTCCATGGGGAAATCTGGTTTGAAAGCATTCTGCAGCCAGTGCAGCCGTAGGGCAATGATCTTGCCTTGTCACAGGCTAAGCAGGATCTGCCTCGTCAGGGTTTTGGATAAAACTCCCAGGGTGGTGCTAATTCAGTGGGTGAAGACCGTCCCTTCAGACCCAGCACTGAACGCCGTGTCCCAGCCTGGTGCTTAGCAGTCACTGATGGGAGGTAGCCTTTTCCAGATCTCTCACACATCCGAAGATCCTGACACTGGTGGTCAGTGAAGATCCTGGGATAAGGGTGGTGCCAGTACTCCATTCAGGAACTGTCCTGTGCTTCCCAAAAGCCAGAGCCCTCCCCGTCTTTCCCTCTTCTGGGACCGCCAACGGTTCTGCAAAGTCGAGGAGGTGCTAGCATATCACTTGCTGCCTGGGCCGGAATTCCCTTACACAATGCCTGGCCATGTTAGAACTTTGCAAATGCCTTTCCCAGAGAAACGCTCCCATGCTTATGCATTTGTGCGTGCTGCCAGGGCCGGCTTTGCTGAACCGAGGCCTAGACAGGCAAAAAGGATTTGCTGCTGTTACCATTACTATTAGCCACGATGTCCATGGAATCCTTAGTCTTGGGGCCCCAGTGTTCTCCACCTACATGCCATTAGTTCATTTGAACACCATGGTGAGGAGCATGTTACAGAACCATGGATGCATGGGTAGACATTCAGGTGCCTGTGTGGTCTGCCTGGAGCCCCACCATTCCCAGTGGGCGCTGCAGGCAGTGCTGTATGCAGCAGTCTGCACATTTTGTGGCAATGGCAAGGAGCAGTGGTGCTGGCTGTCCCACTGCCCACTCAGGTTTGACCCCAAACGCCTTCTGTCATGAGGGAAGGGAGGCGGGGCCAAACCTTCATGGGCTGTGGGGCAGCCAGTGCTGTGGCTCCTTGCTGCTGCCATGGGGCCAGGACCTGGGCCAGGGTTTGCCCCCCGAGTCCTGCCTGGCGTCACCCGGCTCCCAGGTATGGAGGCGTGACGCTGCACCTGGGCAGGCTGGGCTGGAAGGCAGGGGTTGAGTGTGGCATAGGCTCAGCGGGCGAGGCCCGTGGCCAGTGGCTGTCACCGGGATGGCTCCACAGGAATGGATGACAGTGCATAGCATGGGAAAAGTTTTTGGAGGTGCCCCTGGCTGCAGGTGCTCGGCATCGCTGCAAATCAGGTGCCAGACTTCAGCCACCAGAGTTTGAAAACACTGAACCTGGACCTCTTGAGCATTCACAATGTCTTCATGGCTTGTGGCCCCAAAGTCAGAGGTGCTGAGTGCCAGCTGCTGCCAGTCATATCAGTGAGCATGGCGGGAGCCCTTCCCTTCTGCAAATCAGGGCTTAGGTCTTTTCCAGTGCGCTTGAAGGATTTGAGTGCAGCGCTGTAGCAGATCAGGGGAGGCTCCTTGGGCTGTGAGTGGATTGGAAAGGGTGGCCCGCCATGCTTGGCGGAATAAATGTACTCCCTAAATATTTACACTGACAGCAGGTTCCAGCCAAGCCATGCTGTGAGTAGGGTTTCCCAAAAGCTGAAGACTTACTGTTTGTACCAGTCCTAGTGTATGCCTGGCATCTTTTGCTGTGCTCTTGGTTCTTCGAGCGATGGTCCCTATGTTTGTTCCACACGTGGGATAGGCATGCGCCTGAGTCTGGAATTTAGTTGCAGTGTCCGTTGGTCCGCACGTGTGCATGGTGTGGACCAATGCCTGTGCAGTTCCCTCTTACCGCTGCCTGATCTGAGTTGGGATCTTTGGTGTCCTCAGCTCCTTTTCTACTGTGCCATTTCTATACAGAGATTGAGACTAGCTGGTTTGTAGTATCTTTCTAAGTGTAGTGTAGCTGGTTACTCCTCTGTCCCCACCCTGGGGAACTCTCCCTTCCCCCCCAGAGAAGGCTGGGATTGTTTCCTGCCCTCACTCCTTTTCTGGGAGCGGCGAACATCAGTACTGTCTCCGCTGCCTGGTGAGGCTCACGTCTCAGCCTAGTGCCGCACCTGCTGCTCCTTTCCCCCAGAACTCCTGAGGGTCAGGAACTGAGACTTAAACACCCGAGGGAGACGGAAATGAGAACCTGGTCAGATGCAGGCCGGGGACCCTCCCTTACATCAATCTCGTCCAGCAGGCAGCGCCCCTCTGAGCATGAGCTCAGGAACAGAGGCTGAGACTTCTAAGCCTAGAGAGAGTGCTCCCTGGGAGAGTAAGGGGCCCTCCTGTGGCATAGGGGTAAACCGTCTTCGTCAAAGACTGCCCCGAAGAGAGAGTATTCCTCCCACACCACAGACTTAGGTCTGAGTAAGTCGTTTTGGCAAGAGCAAGCGGCATGCAAGTGTATGGGTCTGCAGGTTCCAGTACAGAGTCTGAGGGCTAAGGTTAAACCCCCTCCGGTGCTCACTTCTACATCTAGAGCCAATGTGGTACCTATAACTACATGGCCCTGGATGGATCCAACTTCCACTGTGAGCAAGGAAGCTCTGGATCCAACAGCTTGACCAATAGACACTCCCTGCATCCCAGGATGGTCTGAGACCTGCATCTCCCTGGAGAACCTTTTTTTGCTCCCCCTTCCTCATTCACTCCTCTTATTCGGACTGTTTCTGTTCTGGCGCATTGTTACTCCAGAGGAGGGAGGCGGCTGTTCTTGGATGCAGACATGCTCTCCCTTCCCATCTGCCAGTCTCGTTATGCAACCATCGGCACTGTTGGTTCTGATGGTAATCCGCGATCCAGCCTCTTCTGAGTCGGAAGATACTCAGGAGTCTGTGATACCAGGCAGAGGAGGGAAGAAAGGAATTCAGTCTTACCATACCTCGATGATTGGATTCTGATGAACAGATCCTACGAAGAAGTCCAGCAGGCAACCAGATTCTTGCTCCATCAATCGCCTTTCCTGGGGGTTTGCATCAACAGCGAGAAATCCACATTGACCCCCACAAGGTCCATAAACTTTATAAGGGCGATGTTGAACTCATCCACAGCAAGAGCTTCTCTGCCTCTCGAGAGATTCTAGGGATAGGCCATGGGTGTTCTGAGACCGTGACTATCCGACTACCCTGGACTTGAGTCAGGACTTGCCTTTCCCTCTCGGCCACATGGCCTCATACACACATGATGCCATTTGCCAAGCTCCATCTTCGTTTGTTTGCGAGCCTGGCTTCTTTCCCAGGTACTCCCCAGAGGGGCAACATCAACAAGGTGATTGATTCTGTCCAAGGTTTTGGACTCTCTCGCCTGGTGGACAAAGCCGGACAAAGTTCGGGCGTGGATCCCTTTCCTCACACAGGCTCCTGAGGCGCACTATAGTCAGATGCCCCCCTCTAAGGCTCCCCAAATCGCATTGAACAATATGACAAGTCTCCTATATAAACAAGTGCTCACGCTCCAGAGTGGTGCCAAGGCTCTGCTAGGAGTTGTTCAGCAAAATGGAGTTTTCTCCTCTTGGGCTCAGCAATGACGGGTAGCTCCAGCATCTGTTCGGATCAGCTGTCCTGGAATAGCCACTTAAAGCAGCGATCAGCGCATTTCATCCTCCAATGGATAACCGGATGATCGTCGCTTACCCTGTCACAACTAGGTTTCTGAAGGGACTTCGTAGATCCTTCCACCACCAGTGAAGTTCGTGTCTCCGTGGGACCTCAGTTTCTTTTGTCTCCAGAGCTCCCTTTGAACCTGAAGAAACATGTTCTGTGGCCCATCTGTCTATGTAAGTGGCCTTTCTCATCGCCGTAACATCAGGCAGAAGAGCCAGCCAGCTGGGGGTGCTCATAGCGGACCCACCATGTATTCCACTCAAGAGTCATCCCCAATGTCATTTGTTTCATCTGAGTCAAACCATCCACTTACTGATATTTTTCTCTAAACCATTTGCCTCAGATGGAGAGGGCTCCGTTCTCTGGATGCCCAAAGGGCACTGGCCTTTTATCTACAAAGACACAAACTGTTTCCAGGGCAGAGATCTCAAGGTGTCAAGCTACATCTGTGCGGAGACTTTCAAAATGCATCTCTGCTTGTATTCTCAGTTATCACCTAGCCCACATCCCTCCTGTGGAGGGGGTGAGGGCTTATTCCACTAGAGTGCAAGCAACACCTGCTACATCTGAGATGTACGTCTGCTAGAGATTTGTATGGCAGTGACTCAGAGCTCCTCAAACGCTTTCACGAGACACTGTGCTTCGGTCCAGTCTTCTGCTGCTGCTATGGCTGTGGGGACAGTGTTACTAGTCACCTATCACTTCCATGTCCTCGCACTCGCCTGTCTGAGCACTGCTTGTTAATCTCCCATGTGTGGAATACAGATAGGGACCAACACGCAAAGTGGAGGTTACTTACCTGTACTGGAGGCTCTTTGAGGTGTGGCCCCTATCTGTATTCCACTGCCCGCCCTCCCTCACCTCTGCTGCGGCTTATCTGGCTGCAGTAAGAGAAGGAACTACAGAGGCATTGGCCCGTGCTGTCTTTCATACCCTGGATTGGGAGCATGAGGAGAGCTGTGGCATATGTGCGGGCCAACGGACACTGCAAAAAAAAAATTCCAGACTCTGGTGTGCAGTGTGCATGCATATCCCATGGGTGGAATACTGACAGGGACCCAGTTACAGGTAAGTGACCTCTTTCTCGCCATGCTAGGGAGCTCTCTGCCACAATCGAGTGGAACCCAACTGAGATTGACCTCTGTGCAGGCGTTCTGCTCTCTCCTGGGTGGCATTTTCCTTGCCCAACCTAGCCAACGAGTTAGTTGCCTCGTGTGGTATCCTACCTATGCTGGGGTTGGTTCACTCACCTCTGGGGTGGAATGTGGCAGCTGTTTGTGTCTGGCAGCACTCTCCAACTCTTGGACAGGAAGTGACCTCGTATCCCTCTGAATTTGTACAGGGGAAGCAGAATGTGGGAACCTCATAGTCCTCTGGGCTCCTCCCCCAAAACAGCCAACAGCAGCTGCAGCCAAGGGTGCAGGGTGCAGCATCCTTCCTGGCTTGCTGCTCTGCATGCACCCTTGGGTCACTGCCCTCTGCTCCCCCTCCACGGGAAGCAGCAGCCTTCCCGCTTGCACTCTGCCTCGTTTCCCCTCTGACTTGCTCATTGCCATTGGCTGTTAGAGCCCAGCATCCTGTCCCATAGCTGCCCTGCCTCACTTCCATCTGCGCATTGGACTTCCCCTCCCTTACTGCAGCCATCACTGCTTCTCCTCCACTTCATTCCCAAGTGCCCCCCCCCCCAGGCTTGAGTTAAGTTTTTGGTTCATTTAAACAATAAAAAGATGTGAAGGTAAAGCAAGAAATGGGGCTGTAGTGTGCCCATCCCCTGCATGCTGCCCTCCTTTGCACCCTTCATCCGTATTTCAGTCCTTGAAGGGTGGACGTGCTTCCAGGCAGACACTGAGAGCCCTGATTGCCGATCAAGTGTTGAAAATCTGCCCTTTTTAAGGTCTCCCGTTGGGCACCCACAATTACTAGGGTGAGCCTTGGCCTGTATCTCGGTATAGGTTCTGGGGCCCCCCAGAATACCAGGAGTAATGTAATTACACAGCCATTTCCCCAAGGGTTAACAGCACTTACTGAGAGGGTGCCCGGATGTCCCAGTGTTATCAGGACTGTCCCAATATTAGGGGCTCGGTCTTCCACAAGACCTCTGATCCCCCATCTCGACGTTTCACAGTGCTATATCCAGTCACCCTACTTACTGCACAAATGCATGAGTGTGAGGCCGTTCCCGTGGAGTGGACTCCAGGATTCCAGTGCTCAGGGCACTAATGGTTCCAGTCCATGGTCCAGGTGCCCTCGCTCTGCTGCTGGCGATGATAAATGCGGTGAAGGCGCGCTCTTTTCTGTGCAATCCGCAGTGGGAGTAGGAGCAGGAGCGATGGTGGTCCATCCGTCCCTGCTCTTGAATTACTGCTGTCGAGCAGTCTGCCCCGTCCTAGAAGTCTTACCAGTGCGCCCCCTCCTAACCTGCCCTTGCCTCCGCTCTGCAGTGCCCCACGTTCAAGCGGGAGGCAGATGGTGCAGAGACACCGGAGCCATTTGCAGCAGAAGCAAAGTTCTTCACTGAGTCGCGGCTGCTGCAGAGAGACGTGCAGATTGTCCTGGAGAGCTGCCACAATCAGAACATCCTGGGCACCATCCTCCATCCGGCAAGTGGGGCAGGGGGTGCCGGGGGTCTCTGGGCAGATCTCAGTGCGACGGGCTACTGCCATCGGGGAGAGCAGAGTTTTTTTGGGGGGCCTTTTGCTCGTGTGCCCAAGCTGGGTGTATCTGGCCAACGGTCCCAATGGTACCGTGGAGTTCACAGTCTTTCATCTCTGGAGCTTGGAGTTCAAAGCTGCACGGGGTAGCCACTGAAATGGAGGAGCGTTTGAGTTTCAGGGGAGGTGTTAGAGCACACTCCATATTCAGTGGGGGGCCAGCGTAGAGAGCATAGCTAGCCGAGGAGGAGTGCTCATGGCAACCCGTGTTGCTTATTAAACTGCCGAGCCTGCTGCATTCTGCACCAGTGGGAGCTCTACGGGGCAGGTGGCTTTATTGCTGGGTAGGAGTTCGACTGCAGTGGGATACCATGGCCGGTGGTATGGCAGGCCAGGGTGGAGACTTCTGGGCAGTCACTGATGGCAGTAGGGGGTGTCTGGCTGTTCGGGCGTCCAGTATCCGAGGGGCCCAACAGGACTGCAGCCCAGGTGATCGTCAGAGGGCCGCTGCCTCCTCTAACATTGAGGGCAAGTTTTAAGTGCTTTCCTGTTGGCTAGATCCCTACTCGTGTAGTGGGGACAGTCACTAGTGTGGCTCCTGCTAGCCTGGGGTGCAGAGTGGGTCCCTGCCTTCCATGGGCTAGCTGCAGCTGTCCTGTGAGCATGGCAATGAGCTAGGGCTGTCGGGTCTCGGCCAGGGCTGGGCCTAGCACAATGCTGCTTCCTTTGGCAACGAGGGCCTCCGTGGCTCTAGACTCCTCCCACATACTAGTGGGCCAGGAGATGGGTGTCTGTCCCGGCCCTGCCGCGGGAATGACGCCTGAGCCTCCAAGCTACAGGAGTGTAGAGACTGACCCTGTCGTCTCCCCTCCTGGTTCCAGAATGGCAACATCACGGAGCTGCTGCTGAAGGAAGGCTTTGCTCGCTGTGTGGACTGGTCCATCGCCGTGTACACCCGCGGGGCTGAGAAGCTGCGAGCGGCTGAAAGGTAACTGGTGGCTGCTGATGCTGGGTGGAGGGAGATGGTTCTGGGGCACAGGGCTCCACAACCATCAACCAAGGACTTACCCAGAGTGCCCTTGACCGGGAGGGCTTCATGAGCTAAAGAAAATTGCATCCTTGCCTTCCATTGGCTGCCTGTAGGTGCCTGAATGGGGCAGCGTCAGGGAGTTGGGCCCAGCTGCTTGGCTGTGGGAAGGACAATTGTCTGCCTCATGCTCCGCCCCTGGTGACAGCTGCATGGTGTGCTCTGCTTGTAGGGGAGTGGGGTTAACTGAGCTCCTGCGGAGGTGGGAGACTGCTGCAGCCAGCTGGGAAAGGCTCAGAGGAAGGTGATCTCCCAGCTCCCTGGCTGGCCTCTCTCCAGTCCCCCTTGGTGTCTGATGCAGAATCCCGGAGCTGCTCTTTGAAGAGGGAGGCAGGGGCTGGGTGTGCGTCTCCTTCTCACAGCTAGTGTCCAAGCAGAGCAGATGGGATGCTGCCTGCTGCCTTCTGTGGGTGGCTGACCGCTATGGTGCTCCCCTGCCAATGTCTCCTATCTCGGCTGAAATCTAGGGGCATCCTTCCCCCTCAGCCCATGGCCCTGGAGCACCACTCACTGCTGTAGTCTGCCTCTTGCGTGCAGCTTCGGAAGAAGGCGGATCTCTGCCTTGGAAGGTGGGGAAGGTGACCATGGAGAGGCAGGAGCTTGGCTGGTCCCTTGGCATATAGATTCCAGCCAGCTCAGGCCTGGCATCACCTGCTCTGCTCAGTTGGACGTTGCTGGCTAACACAGCACTTGCCTGGCTGGGCTGGGAGCTGCAGATGGGCAGGATGCAGTAATGGTTTGGGCCATGGCTTTCGCAATGGGGGCCTGGCTTTAGAGGCAAGTGGCCATGAGGACTCAGCTGCTCCCTGTGTGGCCTTTAATTTTCTTGCTGTCCTGATCCACTTCCTCACTGTAGTTTGGTTACAAAGGCCCATTCGGCTGCTGGGGTGACTTTGTGCCAGGAATCAGGACTGACTTAGTGCTCAGAGCAGTTGGCCTCCGTGCCCTACACACAGGCATGTCAGTCTTGGTTAGATGGGGGTCACTAGCTGCAAGGGGCTTGGCCCCATCTCCCGCAATGGCAGGCAGGACAGAATGCACGCCCCAAACCTAGCTTTGGATGGTCAGGTGCATCTTTCTGTCGCTAGGTACGCCAAGGAACGCAAGCTGAGAATCTGGAGAGACTATGTGGCTCCCACGGCTAATCTGGACCAGAAGGACAAGCAGTTCGTTGCCAAGGTGAGTGCCTTGCAGGTGAGGAGATGTCCTGTCCTATTCAGGCTCTCAGGACCTGAGCGGAGCATGGAAGACAGGTAGCTACAGAGCATGTGCTGCTGCTGGTTTCAAAGTGCATAAAACTTTGGGATTTTTTTCCCCATAGCTACAGATGGCACATCCCCTCCCTGTCATGTGCAGCATTGCCCAACTGGCCAGATGCATGAGGGGATTGTGTTTTCCTCTGTAGCGTGGCGCACTGGTCAAGGCCACAAGCAGGAGATGGGACTTGTTGGTCTGATCTGGGGTGGCAGATGCTACGTCCTTGTAACTTGCAGCCAGGGCTGCTAGCACAACTGCTCATGGTGAGAGGGTCATACAGTTACGCTTCCTTTCAACCCTGCCCTGAGCCTCAGCAATGCCACGGTGCCTGCCACAGGCTGCCCCTCAGATGCAAAGGAGGAGCCGAAGCTGCAGCCAACGAGCTGTGCTTGTTCGACCCTTTGTATGTGGGAGGACTTGTCCCATGGAGCTCCCACCTACGGTTATCTGCCCACCATCCCGCTTCCTGCATGCACCGTACTCTGTCTTCCCCTCCCTGTGTTGCTTCTCCTCTGTGCTCAAACCTCCCTTGATGGGAAAGCCCCAGGACTGGCTGGAGTGGGGTGGTACTGAAGAGAGAGGAAAGGGTCGAGGTGCATGAGGATCGGGTGGAGAATGGCCTGAACTGGTGGGTGAGTGTGCAGAAAGAGTGGAAAAGTTTAATCCTCCAAGCTTGAAATAGAGGGTTTTGCTCCACCCTGTGGTCATTGGTGAGTAGTGCAGGGACATTTCAGCTGCTCCTACAGTGCTGTGGCCAGCAGAGGGCTGCCTGGATGCGTGGTAATGCTTATTCTGGTAAAGTTCATTTCCTTCAGTTGTGTTGTAGCGTGAACCCTTCTGCAGCCACCCCCTCGCCTTCCTTTCCAGAGCTGCCTTGACACGGGGATAATGGAACTCCAGCGTTACAGCAGTCTGGGATGGAGGAACTCTGAGTTTCAGAAGGGTTCAATCTCCCTTCCAGTCAGGGAATAAACCAACCACTGACTGGTCAGGCAGGAGCTTTCCCTTGGGGGCAGATTATCCCAGGACTGCCTCTGCTGCAGGATTTCTTGCACCTTCCTCTGAATCTGCTTGCCCTGAGCGAGATGAGCCACAGATCTGATCTGACAGAGCCTGGCCTGTATTCCTTGTTCATCCTGCGTGTATTGCAGTCACCGCGAACAGCCCCAGCTGAGATCAAAGCCCCATTGTGCTAGGAGCTGTACAGACATAGTGAGCGACGGCCCCTGCCCCGGGGAGTTCATGGGCTAAATAGACAACACAAAAGGTGGCGGTGGGGAGGGGGGAGAGGACTTGCCTAAGGTCACAGAGCAGGTCAGTGTCGACTGAGGTTAAAACCAAGCCCTTTCACCCTCTTCCCTGGTGCCCTACTCTGCTGTGCCTGGGGAGTCTCTAGAGCTAGCGAAGCATTGCCTGGGAGGTGCTGTGTGTGCTCCGGGGCTGTAACCTGCCGAATGCAGTCTGTAAATATTTCATACTGTGTAACCACATCAGCCTGCTGCTTGGCGATTGGGAAGTGGTGGGAAAGCCACTAGATGGTGCTGTTGGCATGTAGTTAGGCTCTGGGAGAATATGCATGCAGCTGGGGAGGTTTAATTTGGATGGAAATGCCTGAGAAATGGGCAGCCCGATTTCTTGGAAAGTAACCCCCAGCTCTCGGTTCCTCCCCCACTCTTTGGGGATGCTCCCAGCAGTGGCTCTCGGCCCCCTCTGGGCGGAACCTCCTTGCCTCTCCCCCTTGCAGCCTGCCTCTAGGTTTCCAGCCCCTGTAAACTGTCTTGGAAATGGAATTACAGCCTCATTATCAGCCTCGAATGTCAATCAGCCGCAGGATGCTCTCCTGCTTGGCATTCTCCTGTGCATCTGTAGGAGAGACCGCACTGGGTGGTGAGGAGTCTGCTGTATGCAGGAGTGGTTGGGCTGTCACCGATCAGAACACGCTGCTGCTCTCCAACAGCCCGCACCTGGAGGAAAGGAAACAGTGCCAGGAACAATCAGGCGGTGCCACTCACCAGCACATGCTCCATATGTGGGCATTATACTTACCCCATGTACCTTGGGCAGATCTGCGGGCAGCAGCTTAGCACGAAGGGGTGGAGGAGGACTCAGTGGCTCTGGGAGTTAGGCTAATGCCCATAGTCATTGGCTGCTTAAGACTACAAGAGGTCATCTCATATCTTGCTACCTCTAAAGCACAATGCAAGACTCGTCTGAGTGCACAGGTCTACCCTAATTAGCGCAAGAGATGTTCTGGTGGCTGAGTCTCTTCTCCTATCCTGTTGGTATGTTGCCACCCCAAGACAGCAGCTCTGGAATTGCATCCTTGCTGAAGGATGCGTAGAGCACAAAGTCCTCCCAGGATAATGTGGAGGCTTTAAATCCTTGTGTCCAGCACCTAGGCGTGGCAATGAGGCGCTAAAAACCATAGAAATGTAGGTCTGGAAGGGACCTTGAGCGATCCCCTAGTCCAGCCCCCTACACCTTCCCTGACAGGTTTGTGAACCTGATCTTAAACTTCCAGTGATGGGGATTCCACAGCCTCCCTTGGGAGCCTCTTCCAGAGCTTAGTTACCTTTAGAGTAAGAACGTTTTTCCTGATGTCGAACCTAACTCTTTTGCTGCAAATTAAGCCCATTACTGCTTGTCCTGCCTTCGGTGGCCATGGAGAACAGTTGATCTCGTCTTCTTTATATCCGCCCTTCACATTTGAAGACTGTTCTCAGGTCCCCACTCAGTCAACTTTTCTCAAGACTAACCATGCCCAGTTTGTTTAACCTTTCTTCATAGGTCAGATTTTCTAAACCTTTGATCGCTTTTGCTGCTCTCCTGTGGACTGACTCCAATTTGTCCACCTCTTTCCCAAAGTGTGGTGCTCAGAACTGGATACAGTACTCCAGCCGAGGCCTCGCCAGTGCTGAGCAGAGTGGGACAACTACCTCCCATATTTTGCATACATTGCTCCTTTTAATACATCCCAGAATATTCGCCTCTTTCACAACTGCATGAGATTGACTCCTATTCAATTTGTGATCCACTAAAACCCCCAGTTCCTTTTCAGCAGTGCTACCACCTAGCCAGTTAGTCCCCGGTTTCTAGTCATGCATTTGATTTTTCCTTCCTAAGTGTGGTACTTTGTCTTTGAATTTCATCTTGTTGATTTCAGACCCATTCTCTAATTGGTCAAGGACCTTTTGAATTCTACTCCTCTCCTCCAAAGTGCTTGCAACCCCTCCCAGCTTGGTTTCATCTGCGTATTTTATAATCCTATTCTCCACTCCATTATCCAAGTCATTAATGAAAATATTTAGTACCGGAGCCAGGACTGACCCCAGCAGGACCTCACTAGATACGTCTTCCCAGCTTGACAGAGACCCATTGATAACTAGACACAGCCAGCTGAGAAACTGCTGGTTAGTGTGTGCTTAGGCAGGGAGGGAAACAGCTTCCAACTGCAGGGTGGGGCTACTTGACAGAGCGATGTTGGAGTGAGTACGCAGACCTGACAGAGCGATGTTGGAGTGAGTTCACAGAGCTGGGTACGAGACCTTTGCCAAATGTCATGCTGGATTCTCAGCCTGGGAGACTGAGGTCCTCTTATCATTGTCTAATCACAAATCCCTTCCATGGTTCAACCTTTACCTGGTGGGGAGCAGAGAAGGTTGGACTGAGACTCGAAGGCCAAACGGACCGTTGTCTGACCTCATGCGTTGCACTGGCCAGAGACCCTTACTCAGTGATTCCTGCTCCCAGCACAGAACTTCGGATTGAGCCTGGAGTGGATCTTGAGGCTGCACAATGGTTAACAGCCCTCACTGTTAAATTTCTGCACCTTTGCTTGATCCACGTAGTTCTTGGTGCTCCTGCTGTAGCTGCTGACAAGCGGAGCAGTTAGCTTTTGGTGGCTCCTGGGATGAGGACCACGTGTTCAGAGGGAACCGGCCTGACCCCTTCCCCCAGCTCATTGCATAAGCCTTTGAGGAGATACTGCTTCATTCAGGGTGAGCTGCGCTTGCCATCTGCCCCAATACAGTGCCGTGTGCATGCTCCGATCCTCTTGCATTCTGGCTTTCAGCTGCCGAGCCTGGGAGGAACGCCTGGTCCTGCGGACCCTTTCCCACAGGCTTGTGGAGTAGTCACCCCAGGTCATGGCACAGGGCAGCAGCGGTCTTGCAACAAGGGGCATTGGAATGCAGCAATGCAAATGCACCATGTTCGGCTCCTGTTCTTGGTTACACTGGCAGGAGGCTGTCCGAAGTGTGCCAATGGTATAGTCTAGTGTGGCAGTTGCCGTGCCCTCTGGGGTGAACACGGGGGTATTCAGTGCATTAACTCCTGCCAGACTGGAAAACAGGGCACCTTGCTTGTGAACTTAACCTGTCCCTTCGGCCCATGCACCACCTCATCCACTGGAGCACGCCCGTAGGTCCCAGTGCCAGAACATGAGCCCCAAGAGGCAAAATTCAGCAACAAAGGTCCCTCTCTGCCCATGGCGGGGACTGACTTTGGGAGCGATGTACGAACGTGGCTCCAATTCTTTAACTGAAGGTCTCTTGCCTGGCAGGTGACTGGGCTCTTTGACCTTCTTGAGATGGTTGAAGAAATGTCCTCCTGGGGTAGGCCGGTGCAGGTGTCTTCTTACCAGGGGGTGATGCCTGCTCCTTGCATTTGGGAGATGCCCATCACTGTCTTATCTGGGAGCCTTTTACGTTGGAAATGAATGAAATGAACCAAGGCAAGTGTCTCCACCCCTCCTTTCTCAGAACCGTCTCCTCGTCGGGGGTAGCTGTAGCTGGGCCTGGACTGACACCACCACGGAGTTGGGAACAGGTCTGATGTCTGGCGTGATCTGTGGCAGCTCTGAATGCCACCACTGAGGGCATGCCAGGAATGCCCTGCCCTGGGCAGTGCCTCCCGAGTATGAC